AAGTCAAAAGTGGACAAAGGGGGGGGGGGTCAAAAAATAGCAAAAAATTGGTGGACGTCTTTTATGGATGGCCCCTTTGGAGTTTGGAGTTGTTTGAACGTTTTACAAGCATTTGACATTTTTAACTACCGGTTTTGGTAGAATTCAAAAAAAAATTATGAACCTTTTCACTCGAACCAGACCGAAGCCAGATCCAACCCACCAATTGGCTTATGGGGGGTCTGTGTCAACCAGGGGTCTCAAACTCAAATCATCCAGGGGTCTCAAATCATCCAGGGGTCTCAAACTCAAATCATCCAGGGGTCTCAAACTCAAATCATCCAGAGGCCGCAGGAGGTCTGAGTGAGACCGAGCCGCATCAAGTATTCCACACAAAGAATGCGATTACAAATTCAATAAAGTTAACTTTACAATCTGCACAATATTTATTATTAACAAATAAAAACATAAAGGGCTCTCAAGAGCTATGGGCTTCAATTTCTTCCTCCTACTCCTCTTTGCCAGAGACCTGGCATTGCTTTTTCTTACACAGCTGAGCAACTTTGGCTAGAGTCAGGAAGCAGCTGAGACCCTCAGTAGAGCTTGAAGAATCTCGTTAGTAAGATTGGCCCTGAGCTTTGACTTTTTAAAATTCATAGTGGACAAGAGCTTTTCACACAGGTACTCACAAAAAAGGGCACATGATCCGCTTGAAAAACCTGGACACTCCAGGGAAGGTTGAAGGCGATGCTCCCATAAATTGTCCATGCTTGTCTTCATTTGAAGCGCAGGGGTGGGGGGCATCTTCCACATTGAATTAGAAATATTCAGCTAAAATGTGAAAAGTGTGTTTTTGAGGTCTGAAAACATGTGATCAAATTCTTCCTGTAGCTTTGCAATGGCATCAGTACACCTACTACTGAATGGTGTGCCCGAGTCCATGAGTGCTTTGTATTTTGGAAAATGGCAGAGGTTTCTCTGAGAACCATAACACAAGTTTTGTGCAGAATGAGACTTTACATTGTCATAGGAAACTGACAATCAGCGCCTGGTCTTGTAACTTTTTTTTGTTGAGTACTTCAGCTCCTGTGTAATGCCAACAAGAAAAGCCAAGCCCATGAGCCTTTAGGGATCACTTAGTACAGGAACAACCACCTCATCCTTCTCCATGCTAATACGTAATCAAACAGTAGGTAGGAGCAGGCCATTTGTATGAATTATTGATGTGAAGGAAGATGCCGTTTTAGGGAGAGTGAATTTTGATTTTTCATAGAAGAAAGGGCCTTTTTGAATACGGAAATCTTATTTTAAACGTGACCAAGCTGACAGCCTCGGAATTTCCCTCACTCGTAAACACTAGCGGAAATTTTAATAGGGCTTCTTTGATACTGTGTCAGGTTGCTACGGTTTACACAATTATGGCTGTGCTTTACCCCTTAACTGAATTTTTAAATTTTTCTGAAAACCTTAATTTGGCCATGTTTATTTCATAAAATGCTATAAAACAAAAACCGATTTTAAAACGGTTTTACCATTATAATCAACGTCCAAATCTATACAAACATAATAAAAATTATAATTCGACTAGTCGGTGAGATTCAACTTAAACCGTCGCGGAGGGTCACATTATAGATACGAGAATGTGGAAAGCATGCAGGCCGCATTAACACTAAACTTTGCTGTATGTAGCGGGGCCGCAAAATTTCGCCTCACAGGCCGCAAATGGCCCGCGAGTTTGAGACCCCTGGTGTAAACTAAAAAGTGGATGAGTATGAAAGTATCAATGATGTATTTTATCATAGATACCTACTATCAATAGATATGTAAAAGTCAAGGAATATGAGAATATTAATCACTTAGAATCACTATTTTTAAATGTTCCTAAATATGTGGTTTATGCTAAGTGTGTGAAAGAGAAATAGGAAATGTTTTCGCCTGTGACTGAGCGAGACAGTGCAAGCTGCAGAGGTGGGAAACTTTCATGTGCAAGCTGCAGAGGTGGGAAACTTTCATGTGCAAGCTGCAGAGGTGGGAAACTTTCATGTGCAAGCTGCAGAGGTGGGAAACTTTCATGTGCAAGCTGCAGAGGTGGGAAACTTTCATGTGTCGCTGCAGAGGTGGGAAACTTTCATGTATCGCTCAATTTATTTATTGCATATGGATGTCAATTTCAAAATTATACTGAAAAATGTGTAAATATTTGTTTATTTCTTCTGTACATACGAGGTCTCACTATATATATATATATATATATATATATATATGAATGTGTAAAAAGAAGGTTTGAATATAAAGTTGGGAAACTTTCATCCTTCGCTCAATTCATTATCAATGTAAATTTCAAAATTATACTGAAAAATATGTGAAGTTATTTGTTTGTTTCTTGTGTATATGTCCCCAGGCAATGGCCTAGATTTTTCTCATTGGAAATCTGGCCCTGATAGCGAGGTCTCACTATATATATATATATTTGAATGTATAAAAAGAAGGTTTGAATATAAATAGGAGCCAGAATGATCAATACATTGATCGTGGGCCCTCAAAATACAGAAGAAGATATCACCAGTTTCTAATAGTTCTAATAACTCCAACTATTGTATGCAGGGCAAGTTACAGTTTTTGAACCCAGAAGCCCTAGGTGTTTTGATCTCCATCTATACATCAATGTAGAGTTATTTGTAGTTGGAGCCCACTCTATTTAGCGTCAGGGAATAAAACTATCATTCATGCCTAAATAAAGTGCTGGCATCCGTCCATCACAATGTGACGATGGAGTGGGCTTTAGGGCACGAAATCCACATGGCCTGGGATTATTCTTCAAGGATAAGTATCCTTTGGGATAAGCTCAAAGAAAGTAGACAGTTGGGAATAGCAGGATTTCCTCCATTCACACTAGGACCCCAAACCCTTGTGTCCTACATGCTGACAGCTTTCCATTGATATAGGGTGGGCAAGCCACCTGCCTAGTCAACATCAAATTTACACCTACACCACCAACAACCACAACCACAACCACCAACAACAAAAACAACATTATCAACTATATTCTTAAACACAATAAGATTTATAAAAAAATGTCTATATAATTGGTGCCTAATTCTTTGTCTTTTAATTCCTTTTCTTTGACGCACACTTTGGATCTAATCCTATGACAAAGCCTCCGGGCATAAAACTCTCTGTATTCTTGGGGCAATTCTTCTAGGGCTTTGATTGCTCTATCAACAATCTGATTGGCTCGCTGTGCAGGAAGTGGATCATGGTTGCCGTATGGGTCTTTGCTGTCATACAGTTTCTCCTCCAGATGACGCCAGAAAATGTTCACTGCCACTCCAGGATCTTCATATGTCATGTTGTGAAACCATAGAGCTGTCAGTAGAGAAAGAAATGTTTTCATATAGGCTATGTTGTGAACCCATAGAGCTGTGAGTAGAGAAAGAAATGTTTTCATATAGGCCAATGTTGTGAAACCATAGAGCTGTGAGTAGAGAAAGAAATGTTTTCATATAGCTCATGTTGTGAAACCATAGAGCTGTGAGTAGAGAAAGAAATGTTTTCATATAGCTCATGTTGTGAAACCATAGAGCTGTGAGTAGAGAAAGAAGTGTTTTCATATAGGCCATGTTGTGAAACCATAGAGCTGTGAGTAGAGAAAGAAATGTTTTCATATAGGCCATGTTGTGACACCATAGAGCTGTGAGTAGAGAAAGAAGTGTTTTCATATAGGCCATGTTGTGAAACCATAGAGCTGTGAGTAGAGAAAGAAGTGTTTTCATATAGGCCATGTTGTGACACCATAGAGCTGTGAGTAGAGAAAGAAATGTTTTCATATAGCTCATGTTGTGAAACCATAGAGCTGTGAGTAGAGAAAGAAATGTTTTCATATTGTTCATGTTGTGAAACCATAGAGCTGTGAGTAGAGAAAGAAATGTTTTCATATAGTTAATGTTGTGAAACTCAAATAAACTCCAAAAGAATAGACAAAGTCATTCAAGCATTCTTGCAGTAAAACTTGAATCTCCATGATTGGACCAATATTTAGTTATTAGCTGAAAAATTATATTTCTCCTGTTGAAGTTGGTTGAGCCCATGAGTTGAAAGTGTGAATGTGCATCAGAGGATTATGTACATTGACAGAGGCTGTCATTCCTGAGACCTATTCAAGGCGCTTTCCTTTTATTTTCAAAACACATTTATTATTTTCTTTAGATTATGTCTGCTTATGAAGCTTTATGTTTGCGGATGAAGCATCTTGTCTAAATGTAAACAATGCCAAAACTTGCATTTCACTATAAAATTAATGCTTTTATGCAGAACAACTAATATGAAAACATTATAAATGACTGAATTAATTATAATGTAAATGTCAAAAAATGTAGCTGTTTACCTGGAATAAACAAAATGTCTCCTGGCTCCAGGTAACCACTGTAAGGTCTGGCTGCTGAAAACTTTGGATATTTGTTCAGATCTGGATTCTCCACATCCAACACTTCAGATTTGTCCCCTTGAACAAAAAAACAAACAATTGATCGACTAAGCATGACAGCAAACTATCTGTACAGTACCCAAATATTAGACAGGATAAACAATAGAAAAATGCTGTTCTCAGCAGAGTTTAAAATATGTCTTACCATTCATGTATAAATGCTCTACATCTTTAGGGTGAAACAAAACAACTCGTTTCCTGCCAATAATCTGAAGCAATAGATTGTCCATCACCTGTAAATAGTTTTAATTATTTATAAAGTTGCTTCAATCAATGAAGTGCTCCACAAAAAACAAAAATAGTTTAATTTTGTTTTATTAACATTGTTATAAAAATAATTGCAGATTATATTGTATCACTTCAGACGAGACATCTCATTCAAATATTTCTAATACTACATCAGATCTTTCTAGCCTGTGGATGCTCTGAATATGATACCGTGGCACATGCTCTGTTATTATCCCAACAATTCCCTGTCAATGCACTGAATCACACTCTGACCTGACAATATCACATCATTCCCTGTCAATACACAGAATCACACTCTGACCTGACAATATCCCACCATTCCCTGTCAATACACTGAATCACACTCTGACCTGACAATATCCCATCATTACTTGTCAAGACACTGAATCATACTCTGATCTGACAATATCCCATCATTCCCTGTCAATACACTGAATCACACTCTGACCTGACAATATCCCATCATTCCCTGACAAAGACTGAATCACACTCTTATCTTAGAAAGTGATACCTAGAGTCACTGACAGGATTTTATTGTGGCAGAAAGTAGGCAATAGTCATAAAATTCTTAGTCACTGTCAGGACTGTGAGTCCACTACCTACATCACAGTGAGTCCACTACCTACAACACAGTGAGTCTGCTACCTACATCACAGTGAGTCCACTACCTACAACACAGTGAGTCCACTACCTACAACACAGTGAGTCTACTACCTACATCACAGTGAGTCCACTACCTACAACACAGTGAGTCCACTACCTACAACACAGTGAGTCCACTACCTACAATACAGTGAGTCCACTACCTACATCACAGTGAGTCCACTACCTACAACACATTGAGTCCACTACCTACATCATAGTGAGTCCACTACCTACATCATAGTGAGTCCACAGCTGCACTCCTCTTGATGCTATTCTAAATACACTGGAGAAAAATCTGTCTCGCTCAAACAATTCTGGAATGTTGACATCTTTAGCCAAATGGGGAAACTGGACTGAAATGTCTGCCACATCTTTTCGTGGGTCATCACCAAGGGCACGAAGATAGTACTTTTCATTCTGAAAGAGATAAACTCTTTGAAGTGATTTTAAAATTGATGAAAGAAATTATTTTCAACTACTCAGATTAAAGATCTCAGAAAAAAAAAGCAGCTTTGATTATTCCTTCTGAACCTTTAGTAATTTTAAGTATAATCATGCAAATAATTTTTATATAAGCACTTCCAAATAGCCAAATCAGCTCTACAAAATTTAAAAATGAGTAATTTTTTTGTTCACTGTTACAATAATGACAGTATTTTGATACAGAACAGAAATCTGGTTGAGCCGTTTTTTTTACAGTCTCTTAAAATCTTGCTGCTTTTAATTCATTTCACACAAAAATTTCAAACATTTCCTAACACAATCTAAACAGAGTGTGTTTTTTCTTCACAAATCTCTAATAACCATGATGGATAAAAAGCTTTCATTCTGACCATTCAATAAAATACTCTTTAAAATAAAAGAGTGGTTACATGCATCCACTTGTACTAAACATTTGCTCTTTCTATTCATGATCATGTGCACATTTATCTGAAATGTAGAATGAGCTCAAGTGATCACTGTGTATTGACAAATTAATCAGTGATTAAGCGTGCTTCTTATTATACCTGATGTATTTTTAGGACAAAAAGCCTATGTTTTAAAAAATGAGCAGAGTATACTTACACATGGAAAAATGTATCCGAAAAATTAGTCATTGAGTAGAAACAATACCTGATCAATGAAGTAACTTTGATGGACATCTTCAAAAGCTCTTTGAAGAAACTCCTGGAAAGGCAGGGATCTACACAGAAATACATTTTCATAAATGAATTTACACAGTATTCATATTTTAAACACAATAACTAAACTATCATTTATTATTGATAGTTTTATCATTCTTTTTTTAGGGAATAACAGTGTAAGGCAATATTTCTCAACCTTAACAATTGTTGGTGTCTCAGCATGTTACTAAAATTATCACACTTCTACAACACATTGAATAAATTTGGATGAGACATTAAATTTAAAGCAGGTGCAAGCATTGTCATGACTGTATGTGGTATGGAGAACTCCATGGATCACCACTCACTTTTCTGTCGCAATTTATTATGTAATGTTTATGTTAGCTTTGTTAAGTAGAATTTCTTTTGTTCTCACTTTTAGTATTTGTATAAAAAGTGATTACACCTCAATAAATTATTATATAAACTCTACATTAAATAGAGTTAAATAATAAAGACTTAAAAACTGGTTTAAATATGTAGTCAAAATGAATGTTAATTGACAAAAATTACTCCATTATACCTATATAAAAAGTTTTTATTCAAGAAATCCATTTGACAAGATGATGATACATGGACTTTGACTTCCTGCTGGCTGGCATGACATGCCAAATAGTCCAGATTCCATTTTTGGACACAGTGTCCAACATCAACTCCTCGTAATATGACAGGCTCTCTCTATAAGACAGCAAAAAAGACATCACTAATTAAGAAAAGTATCCATAGATACCCAGAAAATACATGATTTTTCAAACAAATTTCAACAAAACTTCAGATTTTTTTTTATCTAGTGCATAAGGTCAATTCTCTTCTTCTTATGCCTTTTTACCCCACCTGGGGCATACACCGTCCACAAGGATTTTCCATTCATCACAGTCCTGAGCTTTCCTTTCAAGTTGCTTGCAGGAGTATCCCATATTTTGTGTGTCTGCCTCTAGCTCACGTCTCCATGTATTCTTTGGCCTTCCTCTCTTTCTTTTTCCCTGTGGATTCCATGTTAGACACTGTCTGGTGATGCTATCTGGGGGTTTTCGGAGAGTATGCCCTATCCACCTCCATCTTCTCTTTATGATGTCTTCATCAATGGGCACCTGGTAAGTCTTTTCTAGTAGATCTTTGTTAGTGATAGGATTTGGCCATTTGATGTTCAGGATCTTTCTACCAAAGGCAGGGGTCTCAAACTCGAGGCCCGCGGGCCATTTGCAGCCCGTGCGCCATTTGCTGCCCGCTACCTGACAGCAACGTTTAGTATTAATGCGGCCCGCGCATTGTCCACATTCTCATAACTATAATGTGACCCTCCGTGACGATTTCAGTCGAATCTTGACTAGTATAATTCTGATTTTTATGGTGTTAATGAAAATACATATTCGTTTTGATGTTGATTATAATTGTAAAAACCGTTTTAAAATCGGACTAAAATGTTTTATTTGATAGCATTTTATGAGACAAACATGGCTAAAGTGCGGTTTTGAGAAAACACGCTTCGAATATTGTATATACATATATCAAAAGTTTAAAAAGTCAGTGGGTAATACACAACCATAACTGTGTAAATAGCAGCAATCTAACACAGTATCAAACAATCCCTATTAAAATTGCCGCTAGTGTGTAACAGTGACGAGTGACAGAAGTTCCGAGCCTGTCAGCTTTGTCTCGTGAAACATGATTTTGGAGTATTACCGAGTGGAGGGAAAATATAATTTTATCAAACAGTGCAAATAAATATGTGTGTCACCCGACCCCAGTCATGTCTTTCTCAAAACGTGCTGTGAAGAGAAAGGTTGGCAATGAGCGCAGACAATTTCAGGAAAAGTGGGAGACGCACTATTGCTTTGTTGAGCACAGGGGCATTCCGACGTGCCTTATATGCGAGAACATTGTGGTGCACAAAGAGTACAAAATCAGACATCATTATTTTACCACACATGCTGAGGAGTATGCAAAATACCTGGTGGATGAGAGAGAGGCCCGGGTTGCTAAAATTTGCAAGAAAGTTAAACATTTCCATGCATACTCATTCGCTCTTGATGAGAGCTTAGATGTTACTGACGCTGCTCAGCACACAATATATGTCTGTGGTGTTGACGGTAATTTGGAAGTAATGGAGGAGTTGCTCAAAGTGATTCCAATGCATGGGCAGACCACTGCTCAGGAGATTTTCCACCAGCTGTGTGATGCTATTGTGGATGCCGGTTTACCGTGGAAAATTTTTAGCAGGAATAACAACCGACGGAGCGCCATCAATGACATGGAAAATAAATGGACTCGTGGCACATTTTCAAAGAAAACTGGAAGAGGAGGGTGTGGAAAAGGCCATTGCACTACACTGCATTATCAATCAACAGGCCCTTTGCAGCAAATGCCTGAAGTTTAACAATGTGATTTCTGACATGGTGAAATGCATCATCATCAACCATATCAGATATAGGGACTTTAAGCACCAGCAGTTCCGTGACTTTTTAGAGCGAATAGAGTCAGCATATGAGGATGTTAGCTACTTCACCAAGGAAAGTTGGCTTAGTAGGGGAAACATCTTGAAAAGGTTTTTTTGAGTTGAGAGCAGAAATCAAAGTCTTCATGGAGAAGGGTGGGGTGGTTATTCCTGTACTAAATGATCCCAAATAGCTTATGGACTTGGCTTTTCTTTGTTGATATTACACAGGACCTAAATGTACTATACAACAAGAAGTTACAAGGCCAGGGGCAACTTGTCAGTGTTGCCTATGACAATGTCAAGGCATTTTGAACAAACTTGTGTTATGGAATGCCCAGCTTTCTGAGAGAAACCTGCAAAGTACTCATGAACTCGGGCACACCATTCAGTAGCAAGTATACTGATGCCATTGAAAAGCTTCAGGAAGAATTTGTTCACAGGTTTACAGACTTCAAAACACACAGAGCCACTTTTCAAATTTTTGCTAACCCTTGCTCCTTTAATGTGGAATATGCCCCCCCCCCCCCCCCCCCATTTTTTCCCACACCTTTTTTTTTTTTTGTACTTCAAATGGAGCTGATTGAACTTTAGTGCAATTCTGAACTCAAGGCTAAGTTCAGGGAGGGGAATAGAAAAACAAACAAGCTTGGACAATTTATGAGAGAATCGCCCTCCATCTTCCCTGAGATATCCAGGTTGCTCAAGCGGATCATGTGCCTTCTTGGGAGTACCTATCTGTGTGAAAAGCTCTTTTCCATTATGAACTATAACAGGTCAAAGTTCAGGACAAAACTTATAGATGAGCATCTTCAAGCTATACTGAGGGTCTCAGTTGCTTCCTCACTCAAGCCAAAGTTTCTCAGCTGTGTAAGAAGATGCACTGCCACGTCTCGGACAACAAGTAAAAGAAGAAAGAAAGTGAAGCCTAGTTCTTTAGAACCCTTAATGTTTTAGTTGTTATTAATAAAGTTTGAGCATGTTGTACTTGAATTTGTAATCACTTTTTTGTGTGGATTACTTAATGTTGCCCAGTTTCACTCAGACTCTACCTCCTGTGGCCCCCGGCTAATTTGAGTTTGAGACCCCTGATTTAAGCCTAAGCCGTTTAAGGCATGTGTTTATGAAGTAGCATATGAAGGTCTGTACTTTTAGTGCCATACACTTTAGTGTAGTGTTAACTAATACTGTCTGGACCAAAATTTATAAAGAATACAAGTAAGTTTACATGCGATAATACAAAATTCGATCAGATATAATATACGCACCTAAACTGAAAGTCTTACGACTTATCCTTTTAAAGTTAAAGTAAGTAGAGTAGTATACTAGTATACATGAAAACATTTTAAAGTAAATTTGGAGAGATGTCCCCACATGGCCGCCATCTTGGTTGACAAGACCAGTTAATTCTGTCACTAAACCTAAACTAAATTATCCCTAAACCTAACCTGGACCCTGGCTAATTCTTAGAGTTTAGAGATCTTCCCGTGACGTATTTTCGTGTTTATTATAGTTGCAGTGAATTAGGGTTTAGGTTAGGTTGAGGGATCGATTTAGGGTTCAGGTTAGGCATAGGGATCGATTTAGGGTTCAGGTTAGGTATAGGCATAGGCTATAGGGATCGATTTAGGCATACATTAGTGACAGAATTAATAATTGGTTGTTTTGTGTCAACCAAGATGGCGGCCATCGCGGGACGATCTCTAATAATTTATCTGGACCCTAAATGTATCCCTAAACCTAGCCTGAACCCTAAATGTATCCCTCAACCTAACCTGAACCCTAATTACTGCAACTATAATAAACAGGCATATGACATCATGGTGACATCTCTCCAAATTACCCCATTTGACTATTTTTACACCAGACCAGTATATGATTTCAGAGTAAGAGTAATAATAACTAATGATTAGCATGATTACCTTGGGATAAATAATTTCATTAAAGTTTTCTTTCGAAACTCTTTCAATAATAGTTATATCCATCAACCGCACTGTTACTTCACATACTCCGATACAACGAAATCAAAACAAGAAATTGTGGCGATTGTACCGAAACTAGAAGGTTTAACTCCGATTGCACCGAAATAGCTAGTAGTTCTGCTTGTTAGAACAAAATCTTGCACATACCAATGAGAAACCGTGCCTTTTGAAATTTAAGTTCATTGTTAAATGCGATTTAAAAGCAAAAAATAATATGATGAATAATTATTTCTTTTGAATTTATGACATAAAACTAATAATACAGAATATGATAGGAATTATTGGAAATAATTCAAATATGAATATTCAATCTATTGTGACTAGTTCAAATATGACAAGTTCATGATTCTTACTAGACTGATTGTTGATTGATTCAGTCCAACAAAGATCAAACAAGGTGCCAGTCAGCCGGCACAGTTAATAAAACAGTAGATTATAAATATAATTATCAACAGTGGTACGCAAACTGGCGCAGTTTTTTAGGGGATATGTCACCGAGAGAATATTGGAAACTGGTACGTACTAGTACTGGGTAGTAAGGGGGGGAGGGGGTAGGGGTGAAGACAGCATTATTCTGGAGGGTATGTAGGGGTGGTGATGTGGATATGGTAAGGGAAAAGATAAGGGGATTGTAAATGGGGAGAGAGTAATAGTAATAATATTCTGATAGGTTACGTTGCTGTAGCCATTTATTGGCAAATGTGCAACGGTTTGGGAAACTATGCGGCTATCCTAACGGCTCCTAGCGGGTGCCAGGGCAGCCTTGGAACCCTCGATTGATGTTGGCGGCATTGTCGAGTAGGTTCCAAGCAATTATTGTTCGTGGGAAGAATGATTGTTTATATTATATTGTACTGTGTTACACCGAGGCACAGTGTGACAGTGAAGCATTTACTATTGTTCCGGTTTTAACTGCTCATGGAGTTGTCAGAGGTGAAGTCAGTGTAGTGGTTGTTGTCATATTGAGCGTTTGACTCCGATTAAGCGACCTGGGGTTAGATACGTGTTAGCTGAGCTGGGATGGCCGGCACTATCCCCAAGAAACCTTTATATAGGAATGTTAGACGGAGCTTTTCTCGTCTGTCTTTGAGGGAGGGGGGGGGGGGGTCAAATCTTTTTAAGAGGTCAGTGACGAAGCTCTGAGCTGGGATGGCCGGCACTATCCCCAAGAAACCTTTATATAGGAATGTTAGACGGAGCTTTTCTCGTCTGTCTTTGAGGGAGGGGGGGGGGTGTCAAATCTTTTTAAGAGGTCAGTGACGAAGCCAGGAGTGGTGGATTTATATTTATAGTAACTTGCGATGAAGCGCTCTGCGTTACGTTGTATTGTATTCGCTCCATCGTGTCCACGTCTTGCTTTAGGTATGGGTCCCAGATGATCGCACTATATAAATTCTAGTAGCTATATTTAAAAACTATGATGTCATCATACATTTTATTATTAACACGCTACCGTAATTTAAAAGCTATGCTATCATTATATTAATATTATGATGAAATAAAATTTGAAAATGTTTGATCCTTAGCAAGAACTATCTTTTACATATATTTTGCTTGTGGTGCGACTGCTTCCATTTCCCGATAGCCCGCAAAATATAATTCCCAATCACTACGCTAAATGTTTTTTTTTTTTTAATATATATTATATAAATAACGCAACAGCGTTTGGTGCGTATTATATATATATATTTTTCTTTTCGAAAAATGAAATTGTCTCAGGTTAAATATGGTTTAATAAATATTCTGCGGCTATTCGGACCCGGGTCCGAGAAGTTAGTTTATTAAAAAAATATTTAAAATTTATTGAAACTATTGTAAGACAAATTTACTGTGGCTTCTTCTGTGCAAATAGCACACCCCTCTCCCAAATAGGCAATCCTTATAAAGGTAACAAACTTGTTCTCAACCCTTCCCCCGCTGAATCCACTAGCATTTAGTTTAAGTGGTGTGTGTGGGGAGGGTGAGAAATGAAAACATAACATTTATTAACATTTAAAAAATGGAGAAATTACCCCTTCAGTGGCACCCTACCCGCGTCCACGGCAACTACATCATTCTACCCTCTATTCTCACCCACCCTTTTACAACTCTCACGAGATGTACATAATACAACTTACAAGAAGCACAGCATTTGCTCAAATTAACTTTTAAACCAATATTACACTTCAACTCAAATGAATTTAACAAACGCCATATTTTGCAGGTATATTTTATTCACGACTTATGTAAAAGGTATGGTTTTATGTTCATTAATGCAAAGTTTATTTCAAATTTTTTTTTTTAAAAAGGAACAATTTTTTTTTAGTTTTAACCAATCTAAGATCTTCATGACAGCATAAAAAAAACACAAAAACAATGGCTTCAGCTACAATATACAAGTCAAATTTAATCTGACTGACTTGAGCAAAAGTGCACTCCTCTGATTAGTCCATATATTTTTAAAAACCAAATTACAAACTAAATCTATTGTCAATTTTCTCAGATATCAATATCACATATTTAAATGATACAATAACTGAAGGGTTGTGCAAGTTTGTAGACTATCATCTATGTCAAGTTGTAGACTATGCTTCACTGTAAGTTTCATGATACAGAGTTGACAATAGAAAAAATTTGTAATAATTCACTCAGCTGATGCTGCAAAGCAACTAGTTAAGAATGTTAACAGTTAATTAGTTCACAATTAGCCATGAACTGTGTTTTATGGGTAATATAATATATAATACAATGCTGCTCCACCACATTAAAAAAAGAGCAAAAACATTTTGCACTATAACGATGCCAATCACATTCTGTAAATCAGACAAAAGTGGCATAGCATCCCCTACGAGGCCTACCAACTACTCAATACAAATAGTAAAGAGATCTTGTACAATTTACAATCGTAATTGTATTATTAGCCAGACCAGTAACTTATTCAGCTTAAACTTTACCTTAGCCACAACTCAGGTCTCAAACACTATACCAGATATCCAAAAAGCTCTTAATGTTAAGTACATTATTGACAGACCTTAGTGGGAAAACTTGCTCATAGATTGATCAGATGCTATCCAAACAGAAAAGTGCTCATCATTGAAAAGTTTGGTGACAATTTGGTGATGCCTGCTTATCCTTAAAAAAAAAAAAACAGCCCAAAGAAAAAATAAAAAGCATTGTTTCCTACTTTTTTAGTTTTTATCCTGTTATACGTATATAACAAAATACAATAAAGAGTTATATTATGAAATAAGTATTAAAAAAAATTTAAACCACTGGAAGTTGTGTAATGCAGTTTAGATCCAAAAGCACTGACACCGATTTGTAACCCATTTACAAAGATGACCGATCACTTTCACTTACTTATTACTTATCCTTACAATTACTGAGCAAACATAATTTACCAATTACTCACTTTTCTTACAATGAGATACCACATTTAAATTTATTCCTCAAATACATAAACAAATACTTTTCTTCATGCATAAAGCAGCATCCAATCAGCAATACAAAGAGAGAATATTTGGAATAGGTTTATGCATGAAGGCAATAAGGGCCATATTTGCCCAGCATTCTGAAAATGAATGCACACATGATCATACAATTACAATTAAGGAACATTCCCTTATATTGCAGTTTTCATCAAGTTACATCAGAAACCAAGTTGATCAGATAAAATATTTTTTATCTCAGTAGTGTTAAAATTCTGATGTGATCAAAACTGCGATACACTTGAAATTTAGAACAAAAGTTATTAAATAATCACTGATGCTAAATTAAAACATTTGGTGTTTTTTTTTTACAAGAGCTGTGTTGAAGCAACAGATATTCTTGAAATGTTTTTATTTAATTTAAAACAAATTAATCCTGGAAACTACTAATGAGGTTAAGGTACAAAAAGTCTTTGAACTTCTATTTAGCTCAATGAGTCAAGTGCTATTTGTTATATAAAATAAACAAAGAGAAGATCTCAAATCTTTTAATGGGTTTGGGTTTCAAAAGGTAAAAATACAATCCCAAATATATATTTCAAAATTTGAGATTTTACTTCCATGTTTGATCTAAAATATTTTCATAAACTAACTAAGGCTTAGAGTTTGAAAAACTTTTTTTGCTGATCAAATCGATACAAATAAACATGGAAGTAAAATTTTAACATTCAATTTAGAAAAACTGAAAGTTGTGTATTGCTTGATCAATTGATGGTAAAAATAAATTATTCAATTAACGCCATTATTTCTTAAACTGAACACAAATTTTTAGTGTTGAAGGAAATTGTACCAGGTAAGAGATCTATAATCTTAATGACTGAAACTAAGGTAAAATCAGAATACATGGTGCTAATGTAAAAAGATAGAGAGAAAATATTTTACCAGGAGGCTTCAACATATTTATTTTTCAATTTCAATGTCTCATTTTACTATTGTACACTTAAGATGTGCACATAATTTTAAATAAGCTTTTAAACCAATGTATTTATTAATTGCCCATAAAAAAACTGCGAATCATAAATTAAGCTTCCTATTCATTGCCAATTACTTCATGATGATATTAAAACACCTGAGGCAAATGAAATCCAGTATAAAAATTACTTCAAAATATAAATTTTTTAGTCTTGATGATGGTTGGTTATAATTAGCAGTGCATTTTTCTTCAACAACTAATAAAATAGAACTATTCAGAAAACATGCAACATCAGGGTGCTTATGCAAAATTGTAAATGAATCAAAATGGCAAATTTCTGTGAATTTTAGGGGGGAGTGGGGAGAGAGATATTTTAAAATGTGTCAAATTAGCCAAGCTTGATTTGATGATGTTGCTTACTTGCACAACATGTCAGTCTTGAAATTTAAAATGACCATCCGTCATGCAGGAAAATCTAAAATTTGAGCATCTTCTCAAGATGTAGAGTTTCACATAACGGGGCTGTAAACTTATGTACATACAAAAGGTATGAGTAACCTTGAAAGGTCTGAAACACTTATAAGTATAATCACAAGCACCTTCACGAAATGACAATTTGTGCTCTGTCACAGAAGTTGTAATCATCAAACACACTTCTGCTGTCCACCAATAACTGTGCAATTAAGCAGAATAACTCCAGGAAGCTTAGGTGAAGTTAAATTAACACTGCTGCTGTCAATTCTAATTTTCTTGTGAAGTAGCTAAATTTCTAGAA